GCACGCACGCACACACACACACAACACAATCACACACACAATCACAGACACAATCACACACACACACACACACACATTTACATTTATTCATGTAGAAGATGCTTTTATCCAAAGCGACTTACAATGTTATGAAAATGTTATTTCTCAATGTTCTCTGATCATTTTGATCTGAATGCTTTACAAACGTCTTTTCTTGATTATGTGAACGTTAAGGGAACATTCCGTTTTATCATTTTGCAAACATTATGGAAATGTTACATTTGAATGATCTCTGAACAAAGTAACAGTACCATTTAAAAAAAATAAATGGTAGCAAAACATCCAATTAAAACGTTTCAGAACAAAAAACGTGTCATGAACAATGCATAAATGACATTTTTGAGAATGTTACTAAAGGCCAGATAACTCGGAATGAATGTTCTATTAACATTATTAAAGCAACAGTTTGTGCAAAAATTAAAATCTACACACCCACATACTTGTATACTGCCAAAAACAGTTAATAAAATGTTCTAAGAATGTTTTGCTAATGTTCCCATTAAGTTATGAAAACGTTATTCTGGATGTTCTCTGAACGTTAAAGAAACATTTCTCTTTTATCATTTTGCAAACATTATGGGAACATTAGTTTTGAATATTCTCTGAACATAGTAGCATTCAAAAAAATCAATGGTAGATGAACGTTCAATTGAAACGTTTCAGAGAAAAGCTCCCTGAACGATGTATAAATCATGTTTTTGTGCAAATGTTTTGAGAATGTTTTTGCTTTTTGCAAAAGCTCATTTTGTATAATATAAAAAAAACAGCTAATAAAAATGTTTACTTGTTGCTAACGTTCCTGTTAAGTTATGAAAACATTATTTCTGGAGGTTCTCTGAACGTGTTCATCTGAAACGTCTTTTCTTGGTTATGTGAACATTAATGGGACAATTCATTGCAAATTTTACTTTTGAATGTTCTCTGAACGTTCTGAAACTGTAGCAACATATTTTTTTAAATATTAAAATTTTGATTAAATTCAACTAAAACGTTTCTGGAAAAAAAGTTCCATAAACGATGTATAAATAAATGTTTGTGCTTATGTTTTAAGGATGTTATTAAAGATAACCAGATAACTTTGAATAGACGTTTTATAAATGTTACCGGAATGTTTGTTCATAACTTTCGAACCTTGTCGAATCACTCTGAGCATGTTCCCTGTAAGCTGGGACGATTTTGAACAACCTTTTTTGGAGTTTTAACAACACAATTTTTATTTTATGGGTCAACTATCCCTTTAAAATGAAAGTTATAACATTTTCTTTAGCATAGATTGGAAAACCAAGTCCTCACCTTGAGTTTGGAGAGCTGGCCGAGGTCCTTGGCAGCGCTGAAAATCATCTGAGCCCCTTGCTGTTAAACAAAAGCACAAAACATGCCACTTACTGGAATATTATTTTCCAAAAACAATGACGGGTATTGTGACAACATTTAATAAAAAAAAATAAAATAAATAAAATAAAATAAAATAAAATAAAATAAAATAAAATAAAATAAAATAAAAATAAGCTTTGCATCATTTTATTTTATTTTAACTATAAAGTAAAATATACAAGGCCTACCTTAAATATATTTTATTTTACAGCTATGAAATAAAAAATAAAAGCCATACACTAATTATTTAATTTAATAAAATTTTAGCTATTAAGTAAAATATATAGGCCCTCCATTATACAGTATATCCCATTTAAATTTTTTTTTTATTTTAGCTATGAAATAAAATATATAAGCTATGCATTGTTTTATTTTATAGCTTTGAAATAATATATATATATATATATATACATATAAGATCTCCATTATTTAATATTTAATTTTATCTATGAAATAAAAGCTGTTAAGCTCTCCATTATTCTCTTTTATCTTAGCTATAAAGTAAAATACGCACGGCCTCCATTACATATTTTATTTTTATTTAATTTTATATCATTTTTAATCATTCATTTCATTTTCATTTTATAGCTATGAAATAAAATATACAAGCCCTCCATAAAAAAATAAAAATAAATAAATAAATAAATATGTTTAAAACTATGAAACATCTGGTGTTCCTAATTATGTTTATTCCTCTTTGTAGATCCCTTAACAGCTAAACAGCACTTTTCAAAAAGGAGCACGTTTCTTTCCATCCTCAGCTGATCTGTGATTGTGTCTTCACTCATATTTCCATAAGCTTGTGTTAGGAGCAGATGCTGAGAGACGCGTCTCGTGTGTGTGTGTGTGAGAGTGTACAGGTATATATGGTTTATGAGGACACAAATGTGTATAATGACATGGGTACTACAACGTAAACATGGTTTATGAGGACACTTCCTGTGTCCCCGTAAAACAAAAGGCTTAAAAAACATACAAAAAGGATGATTTATGAAATTCAAAAATTGCCAGTAGTTTCTTGTGAGGGGTAGGTTTAGGTGCAGGGTTGGTGTAGGGCAATAGAAAATACAGTTTGTACAGTATAAAAACCATTACTGTGAGTGAGTGTGTGTGTGTGTGTGTGTGTGTGTGTGTGTGTGAGTGAGTGTGTGTGTGTGTGTGTGTGTGTGTGTGTGTGTGAGAGACAGACGTGTTACACTCACTGTCTGGTCTGAGAGAGGTGGAAGAACAATTTGTTGTTCGATGGTGTTGAGCACTATCTTCCACAGCTCCTTAAGGACCCGTTTGAGAACCGTCTTCTCACAGATCTTGGCAAACAGAATTAGGCTGGAGAGAGAAAAAAGAGGGATGGAGTGAAAGAAAGAAACGCAACTGGTGCTTCAACAGATGTAGCTGTGGGTTTCCTCACTTCTTGTCCAGCAGGTCCATGAGGGGTCTCAGGACGGTCTCTGCGTCCATGGCTGCGTTACTCTTGTTCCCTGCGCTTCCCTTCATCTGCATCAGCTCCTGGTTCATTTGTTTGACACAGTCCTCAATGACCGGCTTGAAACTGCACAGACATGATAAACCTAAAAACTACATCCATACTAGCATTCATTTAAGAATGAAGAACACATTTTCATCATTCGAGCTCACCTGTATGTCTATATAACCATAAAATAAAATATATAATATATATAAAATATTTCTATTTAATAAAATAACATAAAAGAAAAGAAAACTATGATTTTTATCATTCAAGCTCATCTGTATGTCTATGTTTTCTAATCACAGAAGGCAACATGAATTTAATGCAAAATGGATCTATATACTTCCTCCATGAATGTTGCAGGTGTATTTTATTTTAGCTATACAGTAAAATATATAAGACCTTCATTGAACTATAAATAAAAGATAAATGTCCTCCATGAAAATTATTTTCTATTTTATTTCATAAATTCTAATACAAATATTTTATTGTATTAAATACATAAATATAAAACTGATTTTTTTATCATTTTAACTATAAAATAAAACATATGTCCTCTATAAAAATAGTTTTATTTTAATGTATTTCTCGTATTTATTTTCAATCACTTGTTTATTTTGTTATCTGTGTCTTGTCACTTGTCATCCGTCTGTGTACTGGAAGCTTCTGTCACCAAGACAAACTCCTTGTGTGTGGCAATAAAGCTCTTTCTGATTCTGATTCTAATAAAATAAAATATATAGTAATATGCATGGCTAAGAACTTAATTTGGACAACTTTAAAGGCGATTTTATCAATATTTAGATTTTTTTGCACCCTCAGATTCCAGATTTTCAAATAGTGACGTATAAATCTCAATTTCAAAAAATTGACCCTTATGACTGGTTTTGTGGTCCAGCGTCACATATCATAGCCACAGCATCTAATCAAATACTGTATGTGTATCAATAACATTGAATTTGTGAGACAAATTTCTTTTTACTTGACTCTAGCAAGTCCATTAGAATCTGATCATATTTCCTGCGTCTCAGCAGCTTTACCCATGATTCCCTCATACATAAGTCACCTGGAGCCGAAGACGCCGCTGAGCTCGTCCAGCACCGTATTGAGTTTATTCTGCAGCTCTTTCAGCAGATTGCTGGCCTCCGCGTCCAGCTGGAAAACACACACAGTCACATGACACACACCACAGGAACAGGAAACGCTGAGGACTCAGCAGAAACGACATGCCTCCGTATGGAACGTCTGATGTTGTGTTGCAAATAGTAAACCATTAATATTGCATTAATATTAGGGACTGATTATCCAAAAATGTATTTATTAGTCATATACAGGGTCAAAAAATCAATGAACTCACAAAAAAACCCACGAAAAAGCATTAAATGCTGTAAGTTAAATAAAACAGATACATAATTCAATATTTGCAGATTCTTCTTCAAGTAATACACAGTCAACAGATACGGGGCCAGATTTCATCAATCAATCAATCAATCAATCAATCAATCAATCAATCAACACAGTTGTTAAAAATCACACAACTGATGACTGTCACGTCAGACTTTTATGTAATAATAATAATTTTAATGATAATAATCTTTATGTATTGATTTATTGATATGATATGATATGATATGATAATAGGTATTATTACACTTTTTAAAAACCACACACTTAATGAGAGGTTTACTGTATGTTTTACATTTTGTACGTTTTACATTTTGTAAAATATATTTATTAAAGTTAATATTCAATCAATCAATCAATCAATCAACACATAGACATTATATACGATTATTATATAAAAATACATTTTGTATAAAAATGTATTAAAATATAGAATACTTACAAAATTGCATATTGTTGTGTATATTTTATAGATTTTTTTGTAATAAAAAGCTAGGGAAAATACATGTTTATAGACTGTAAATGTAATATATAATGTAAAATATACACAAAATATAATCTAAAAATGTAAAATAAAATATAATATAAGATAAATGACTTTCCAAAATTCATTCAAAATTGGTCAACTACACTTTAAAAAATGGCCTAAGGGCAGAATTACTACAATAAATAAATGAATAAATAAATACATTCATACATACATAATAGTAATTATTATATAAAAAAGTATTTTGTATAAAAAAGTATTCAAATATATTCGCAATAATAGTACTGTTGTATATATTTTAAAGATTTGTTGTGTAATAAAAAGCAAGGAAAATACATGTTCATAGTCTGCAAAAATGTAATATATAATGTAAGGTATGTACTGTTTTATATAAGATGTATACAAAATATAATATAAAAATGCTAAATAAAATATAAGAAAAAAGACTGTCCAAAATTCATCCAAAATTTGTCAATTAGAATTTTGGAACAGCTTAAGGGCTGAATTACTACGAACCAAAAATAAAAAAACAAACACACACATTATTATATATTATAAAAACGCATTTTGTATAAAAATGCATTACATTTGCAAAAACATATATTTTATAGGGTTTTTTTTGGCTATAAAAATACATGTTTATAGACTGTAAATGTAATACATAATATAAGATATATAAAAAACAGAATATAAAATTGAATATCCAAAATTATAAATACAATATAATATAAAATTTGGCAATCACACTTTCAAAGTGCCCTAAGATCTGAAAAAAAATTCTGCAGAAAATAATCATTATTCATAATTACTGACAACAGGTACCATTTTAAAAGCCTCAACATGGAAAATGATAAACTGAAAAAAGAGGCTTATGTATCAGAATCCATGGCTGTCCATCAGATCTGACGTCTCCTAAAGATGAAGCACAATGCTTTGCTTTCATGCATGATTCCTAGCATGTTAGTTGTATTTAGTATGTTTAGTGGTTGTATTTGAACAGCAGTGTGAGGCAGGATGTCCATGTACTGGGGATGAATGGCTGACTTGTGAATTGTAAGAGTGTTTATGGTTCCCGGTAAGCGGAGGGCCGTCCAGATCAATCAGTGACGGCAGCGGGCCGATGCTGGTGTGTGAGATCTCATCAGGTTAATGGAGATCAGAGAGAGAAGCACGGCCATGACTGATAACACAAACACAACTGACGCTTCACACCTTATTATTTAATCTGCAATATTATAAAAAATAAGAAATTATACTGTGCTTCAAGAAAAGTCTATGTTTATGATGGCATCTCCACCCCAATTCTCATTACCATGATATTCATTACTGTAATAAATATAAATGTTTATATATATATATATATATATACATACATACATACACACATACAGTATACTGTACATATATATATAATTTTGTCATTACAGTAATGAATAGAAATATATAAATTTATATTTACTTTATACTTTAATAAAAATACTTTACCCATTTAAATAATATAGTATTTGTTATTTTATTACAATTTAAATGAGAAAAGTATCTTTATTAAAGTTTGAAGTAAATTTAAAGGCACAAATTTAAATAATTTATAAATGTATATATCTTATTATCATATATATATTTTGTATTATTTTATATATTTATATT